AAGAAAAGACTTCCTGAATTACTCGCACCTTGCATTTGTTGATGTGTTCCTAAAGAATGACCTGAATCTCCATACTTTTAACGTTGAAAGATATTTTAATTGGTATCTCAGACCGTTTTCGACGACGTTCCGTCTAACTAGACTATAAAAATAAAATAAAAAATTTTTTTCCACAAAAGTGGTAGAAACTCCACGGATTTACCCATGGCCATTACATCGATATGTCTTTAGTTGGGATGCTGCATTTGTTCCAAGGTAAGTATAATTATTACATAGATCATCTGCATTGTAAGTATCCCATTGGGGTACTTACAATGCTTTACTTCGTGGATAAACCCAAAAATTATTATCACGATTAGGGTGACCATGGTAAAATAATGTTGACGTCGATGTTGTTTCCTAAAATTTAATAAGAATTCTAGATAGATATATTTGCTATTGGGAGGAGATAATCTTAGTAACACGAACGATTAAACATAATACAACAGAGTACTATGGTATTATTCGAAAAAAGCTTGAAAAAACACGCGAGGATGTGGTAATTTTTCAGGAATGTCTTTTTGATGAAAACGAAAGATATGCTAACGATAATGTAACACAGACATGTGGATAGTTTCAAATGAAATGTAGTTGTGCATTCAAGCATAACTTACATTTCTTTATTTTCATCCCTATATCATGGCACTTTAACCTGAGATATCCGTTACGGATATCAAAGGCTTATAACAGGTTAGGGAAGATTTCATGGACCAGATCGATTCACAGAGATTATTACAGTGTTGATCAATTGGCGACGGACAAGACTGCTTTTGGAGACTCTTTGGATCTGATAGAGTCCTCCTTACGATCAAATTTGAGTTCGACCAGGAGGCATGAGTTCAGATAGCTCTTTGATCAGTATAGAAAAGAATTCCTTTATACTCAACGATTTTTTTTCCAACACATGTGACTAGTTATTACACACAATTTGAGAATAATCAAAACATTGGGTGTCGGCATGAATGTGTCCTACCCTAAAACCAGAGAGTTTGTTTTCATTACGCTTATGACTCACTTGTCATGGCCATTGCAACGATATGTCATTAGTCCAGATCATCCACTTGTTCCAAGATATGTGTAATTATTACATAAATCATCTGCATTGTAAGTATCCCATTGAAGAACTTCTAATTGTTTATTTCGTGGATAAACCCAAAAATTATTGTTACGATTAGGATTACCATGATAAAACTTGCCCGACATGCCTTTCTAAAGAAACATGTGAAATTTACTTGAAATAAGAATTTCACAGAAAAAGCCGGATTGAGCAATTTCGGAACATCTGTTGCAAGCAAATAGATTTTTACGAAGCTTTGACGGGAATATCAAGTTTTCACGGGCATAGAATCTTTTTGTATTTACCCTGGAAGGAAAGTGCTTTCGCTCAAATAGCACATTAGGCGATATCTGAGCTACAAGTCTTTCAATCCGATGAGGGAACTCAGTAAGATCTTCTAAGAAAACAAACTAGATCTCTAACAGTCGATCATATCACAAATATTAATTGACTACCATTAGACTTTATTTTCAGCAAAAAGTAAAATAATAGGCCAAGAGAATTTATTTTCATTTTACTTTCGCCCTTCTCTGATTCTTGTCTACATGTTCAATAGAATTCATATGCTTATCACAGGTAACTACTAGTATAATAAATAAAAAGGGAATGAATAGAAAAGCGAACAAAAAACTCTACGAAGTTTCTATCAACATTGAATACCTGCACAAAACACGACGAAAGTGAAAATGGAATTATTTTTACATCGTTGCTCTTTATTTATATACTTTATTTAAATTTTTCGACAGAATTTTCAAGGATACCTTACACCATGCGATGACTGGAACAGAACCCACACAAAGTAAATGTAACAATGAAAGAACAAAATAAATTTCGGCATCCAGACACTCAATGAGAAAAAGAAAAATAGAAGCCTAGAAGAAGACCTATTTTATTCTGCTACAACTCTCTCTCTTATAGACGAATTCGTTTTACTTGCAACGAGCGTAACTGCTGTGGTAAAGAGCAGAAAGAAAGAGAACGTAGTAACGAAAGAAGAATGTAATGTTGTGTTAACAACATCTAGTGAAAGAAAGAAAATAAAATTAACAAAGAACAATTTTTTTGCTCTGGATCTTTTCATCCATTATTTTTTACCCACTAATACATTTTCTTTATATTTATCAGAGAATGAAAATGCTCGGATAAACATACACTGCTCTGGTGTAGGAGGTATAGAGATAAACGGCTACATTCTTTTGTTTTGATCATTCGAATACTTTAGCTTCTCCTTAACCTTTTGCTTTCTGCAAGATTTGTGAATCATCTTCTTGCATCTTATTATCCGACAAACAGCATCAATGAATTGAATGAAAGTCCCCAATGAAAATTGAGTATATGTGATGGTTTTTTGTTTATTATACTAACACATGTAGTATAAAAGCACCTAAAGTTTCTTTCAAATGTTTCACTTTCCAAAGTGGTAGAAATTATCTTTCTTTAGTTTTTGATGAGAATATGAGTATCTCTTGAACTCAGCACAAGTTTTGTAATGAAAAATGTGAATGAATATAAGACTATTTTTTCACAAATAGAGGCTGCCTAGCACATATGTAATTTTTCATTATGTCGTGTATTTTACGATAAACTTGATAGATCGTGTTGTACCTAGTTGGCAACTCGAAGTCTGACTAGTGACAGTTGCAAAAGTTTTATAGGAAATCGAGAGAGTGTGAGTATGTATGGATGTGTTAATAGAGGTTAAGATATCCATATTCACATCCACACCATTTCATCCAATCGAATGAAAATAATTCGTAGGCCAATAAACTATAACTATTCTAACAAGTCAATTTTTATTTTAGCGGAACATGACATGATATTTCAATAGTTTGATCGTTAGTTATGCGAAAAAATCTAACTCAGTTTAAAAAAAGAACAATCGATTCTATTATTGATATTTGCCTTTGAGCCCACATATGTCACATTATAATTTTGTTTTCGTTTCAGCATATTCACTACAACTGTCGCCAAAGTATCACTATCAATCTGCGTCTGATGTAAATAAGACTAGTGACAATAGAAAGAAAAAAAAATGAAATAATAGACTAGGGGACACCCGGGATTGAACCAGGGACCTCTCGATCTGCAGTCGAATGCTCTACCACTGAGCTATATCCCCATATCAGTAGTATGTAACTTGTCACTTGAGTTTCCGATCAACATAGTAATGTGATATTTTAGCATTTTGCTTACCCATGTAAATATTAGATGTGGGATAGATACATTCAAACATGATTGACAAGAACTTTTGAGACACATTGTCTTTTGTGGTAATCTCACAGTTCATACTCACTTATATGCACGTCCATACTAGTGTCAAATGGATTGAAGATAGAGTAATATTCAGAAAAAGGAATTAGAGAATCACTGAGGAGAGAGTGACAGAAGAATAGCAAACAAAATAAACAAAAGATAAAAAAAACATGAAACTGTTCTCTTTCAGAACTTCATCTTATAAACAAACGATATACACATACAAGCTTTTCATGTTAGACATTCATATAACTGAGTACCTTTTCTTTCCTTTCTTTTTCGGACAGGAAAATAAAAGTGCCGCTCATATTCATGAGAAAAAAAGGACTTGATTCAAAGGATTATCTCCATTTTATTTCTCTATGAAAATCAATGAAAAAGAATAAAATGAAAGGTAAAAACGACGATGGACATCAATATTGAAACATATTGATTTCTGACAGCTGCAGATATCAATCCTTTCGCCTTCAAAAAATCTTTCACTAATGGTGTCCAAATAGCATAACCTTGTGCGTTCATATGTAGATTATCCGGACCGAAGAGTTCTGGACGTGGTTTATTGTCAGATGTGAGCATTAGGCTAAACACGTCGATATAGTCTACATTTGGCAAGCTTTGAATACTCTCTCGAATGCGATTGTTGGTCTCATTCATTATTGCTAGTTTGTCTACTCGACTGGGACTTGGCTTAATTGAAATATAGGCTATAGGTAACGATGGATAGAAACGTCGAACCGTAGGGATGAACTGTTGAAAGTACGAGAAAACGGACGATGAATTCGCACCAGCGGCAACATCATTTTCACCAGCATAGACAATCAAAGCGCGTGGCTCCAATGGCAAAACGACACGCTTAAACTGTTGCCAGCATTCTTTCAGAGACGAGCCGCCGAAACCGCGATTGATGACTCCGCTAGGAACATCAGCAAAATCTTGTGATAATGTCGACCATAAGCGAAAAGATGAGCTGCCGAAGAAAACAACAGTTTCTCGTTTTTCCTGTGTCAACAATTGATCAAATCGAAGGAGCTCTGGCTCATAGAATGTATTAGTGAGCTTTTCGAAGGAGCCTTCATCGTCGAATAATTGACATTTTGCATTATTGCGTGTATAGACAGTAGCCAATGGACCAGTCTCACTTTCGAACGTGGGCGTACAGGTACCATTCGATTGTCGACCCCAAATGAGATCTCCATTGGGAAGACGACGTCTCCAGAAGCATGAGCTTACATTGACAAATTGAGCTGGGCCTAAATAGAAGCAATCTGATAAGCCGATGAAGTAATGCTATGTGTGTCTACCTTGAGTGGTATCGGTAAATACTTGATAGGTGCCCTTACCATCCGTATCATTGACTGCAAGAAAATGGTTTATCTAGAAAATAGAAGATATTGCTGGCGTACTTGTAATCTCATCTAGTTGTTTACCCAAGTAAAAGAAATATTGTTCAAGAAATTCACGGTAAATGTCTCATTGTTGTAGAAAAATGCTTGACCGAGTTGTTGAGAATAATTTTGATCGCTAATTTGCTGCTGTGATATACACCACAAACCGCGAAATTCGACCGGTGTCGATGGAAAATTTCCTTCAATAGGTATTCATCAGAAAAATTTTATCAAGCGAATGTCTTACTTTGAGAAGTTACAGTTAAAATCACTGCAACGAGAATAGTGCAAAAAATATTTAATAGAGACATGTTGTCAAGAAGAAGAGTATTCGTAGTGTGAATAATAGGTTTCTTTTCTTATCAATCCAGTCAAGTTCGATGATATTTACATAAAGCTTCAGTGTCTTTTAAATGTGAATAAAAGCAGTAAAACATCCAGATAAATATGCGAATAACACTCGCCATATGATACGTTGCAAGATATGTGTTACAAAAAAAAACGCAGTAGCGGTGACGTCAATGCATCAGATTCGAATGAGAGGAAAAAAGCAAAAAAGTCTTGGCCTATCATCACATTTGTTGATATTATTTGAAAGCGACAACCATAAATGATTTTCATCGCTTTGTCTTTCAACGAATGACAGAACTTGGCCTTCAGTGAGAAAAAAATATGAATCTTTCTCAGATATAAACCTTCTACTTTCACACTCATACCCCCAAAATCTGCTGAGTAAAAGAAAAGAAAAATTATGATTGACTCAGAGTTTTACCGAAAAACTTCGATTAGCTGATGCAAAATAACAACACATAAACTCAAAAGTTCAAAACCTGTCGTTTCTCTCTTCGTACATTGTTCCGGTTTTTCTTTTTCTTCTCATTCTCATCATAACCTACCACAAGTACACATGGTATTTTTTTCGAAGTATTTGCACAAAAAAAAGTCTAAAATTTAGTCAGGATAAAAATATTGATTATCTGAGTGATGAATTTCATTCTAGCTTTGTTGCCCTTTGGAATTTAAGTGTAGAAATAATGAAAGCAGTAACTATTAATATAAGCAATAAAAATGCGTTCATGGAACAATACACTTCATCTTTGAATAGGATACAATTTGACAACGGGAAATGCTTATCAGCGTTCTAACCTTTTTCTCAAAACAGACACATATAGTATGTATCAAAAATTTATTATAGCTGCTTATCTATTAGATTAGGAGTCATTGTAACGATAAAAATGATATGAGACATCTTTTACAAACACTGAAATTATTAACATGTTAGACGTAATCGGTTTGATGCCCGATTGGCAAGCAACTGAGAAAAAGATCTGATAATACGTAGATGCGAATATGTATTACAGATCACTCTCGAGATTATCATACTTTGAAAGCATACTGAAGGGAGTCAAGCAACTACACTGCTCTAATCGACAATAAATATCTCCATTAGTAAAAAATTTTTACTGTTTTTAATACGTATTATTATTGGTAAGCAAGGCTGTAAGTATGTTACATCTTGACAAAACCGATATTTTCATGGGCATGAATGTTTTTCAATATTAATACTTAAACTAGGAGTGTAGGTGTAGGTATAGTTGCAGAGAAAACCAATATCCATAACCACATTCTCAAGTATTTGACATTGAAGACCCAATGATGAATTACAGAGTTTCAAACATTCTTCTTCACTGAACCAATAATTATATTTCTTTAACCTGAGTTTATGAACTGACCTATTTGCATATTTAAATAATCACATTTGAAGCATCAATGATTCATCTTGATTGATATTTAGACAAGCAAGATTTGGTACTCGATCAAGTAAATCTTGCAATAGCGATTGAAAATTATCAGCATAAAATGATACATAAAGTGAAGACAATCGTTTCAAATTTTCAAGCAATAGACCGAAATTAGTCATCAATAGGGAGTTTAACATAAAGGCAATCAATGTCAAATCAACAAATATTGGACTAAAATGGTTGTTCAAAAAATGTCTCGTCAAAGATAGTAGTCATGTTATTGTAAGTCTCTTTGTTGATTTCTATGAATCATCAAGCTTTCTTTCAAAATAATACCATGTATTTGATAAAGTGTAAAGATAAATAGTTGTATTTAGAATAACATATCGAACAAACCATTGATGTTCATCCATTCAAAAAGAACTTCGAAATGAATTAATTGATTGATTGATTTGTTCTTATGTACTTTGATCCAAAGAAAGTGTATCTTTCATTTTCACTCGAAATACTTTAAGCTTGAACAAATAATTACGAATATTTTGTTTCCATTGATAACTATTGCTTAAGTTACACCATGAAATGATACCGAAAATACGCAGATTAGGTATGTCTCCTAAAAAGACAATCATTTTCGACATATCATTGATGCGAAAAATGGTAGTGCGTACTCAAGCAGATATTAAAAAGTCAAGGATGGATGAAACGAATGATTGATATGTGAATAGATATATTTTTCTCGTCTTGTTCGAATTCTGATTTTCTCGATAACTGGCCCCAACCTCATCGAAATTGAAGTGCTGATCTAAAATAAAACTCTCAAAAAAAATTTTGATTGCTCAGTATACTTTTTATTGATTCAAGTTTTTTGAAATTCGATTTTTCAGCTGAGTCTCTACCTTTATTTTATGATACTGATGAAGAAACTTTTAGAGAACATTTTTACGTTTTTTCAATATACAAATAAAAATATCTATTCTCCAAAGCTACAACCGTAATAGTATTATGTCAGGGCGTTTGTAAGGAAAAGATAATCGGAGTAAATCATTATCTTTTGAACTCCTGAAAATTTTCAGGCACTTGAAATCACACTGCTTTTTGAGTACTCGATACCAAAACAGTCAATCAAAAATATTTACAAACTGCAAGTCTATTTTCTGTCTTCAAAACTATTAGAATAGGACACTTATGTATGCTAGTCTCAATTAGATCAATTAAGTGACATTTATAGTTATTCTGAGTTGAGACTTTTAACTGCTTTTTTTTAGTCAAATAAATTATAATATATTAAAATTTTTGGTTTAAGTATGCATCTTTTATTCTGTACAACAAAATTTACTATAGACCAATTTGCTTTGTTAAATATTCATGATAAAAATCTTTTCACGTATTTTTTTAAAATTAGCCAAAAAATATTAAAAACAATGTCCAAGTTCAATATAGTATTTCATGACGAAACAATCATTTATTTAAGATTAAACCGACATGTTTAGCTTATCTAGTTTATATATAAGCACCGTAATCGTAAGTACATATATTTAAAAATTTTCAAAAATATCAGAGGTCATGATATCGACTACTTGAATCTTTGCGAAATTTACCCATCGAATAACTGAAATCGATGCACCGACAATGCTCATCGACTGGCAGCTCGAGCTACCGAGAACAAATGTAAAAGCAACCCATTGCCGAGCTGTCGATCTATCGGGAAATGGCAATTCGATGACTCGATATAAAGTTCCGATACCCATCGTACACTGAAATCGACGCGTTGAAATGTCTATCGGATGACTGACTAGAGTGGGTGTGAGTGTAGCTATGAGTGTGGTAGCAAAAGACGCACCCACATCCTATTTTGCTTTTGTGTTTGATTCAGATTCAGCACGAAGAATCGAATCGTATTCGTAACAATTAATTTGACGCTTCAATTTTTTACTAAATATCGACTGTTAGAAAGTGTCAAAATCTAAGAAAAAGAATTCTCGAAAAATTTAACGAATTCTTGGTGAAAATTTTAAGAATTGGATAGTATACAATATACATTCACCTAGGCATATATTTCGTTTCTTCCTGTTAGATACTTGAAAAGATTCTTATATACATTATGAACAGACATAAGAACTTGTTATTTGAAGATATTTTGTTGTATCTAAAGTGTATTGTACTACTAGAAAATATTCATTTATATTTCCAACCAAATGAGTCCACGAGAATTCACTTTTTGAGAACAAATTTTCGAAAATATTTTATAAAAAACTTTTAGGAGTACTTGAAAGATTATAAATCTTTTTTGAAATTAATGATATTAGACTATAGCAGTATTACTTAAGTATTGTTTAAAGCATAAAAACTTAGAGTACTCTTTGTTTATCATTAATAAAAAAAGAAAAAGATCAATGCATTTCATGTTTACAATTGAGATATTTAAGTTTTTCATCGTATTGTTATTCATAAGCCGTAATATATAGAACTGAACAATTAATAAATTATGAACGGGATGCTTTGAAAAGAATTCGTAATATCTTCAAAGGTTTAGATTTTAACAATAGTGATCTGCTGCAAGTACAAGATCTATAATTGGTCATTGGACTACAACGACCAGTTTTATATGCTAGACTTCTACAATGTAGTCGACATCGAGATTCATTTCTATCATTTGGTCCATTGCAACCAAAACTACGAATTTGACGTACTGCATTGTCAATAAGAACCTTTCAATAATGATGAGAACATTCTTTTCTCAATATTTTTTTTTCTTCTACTTCGGTCATCATCAATAGGCAACATATAAATTATGTTAATTTTATTCAGTGAAGCTACTCTTCTAAATGATTATGCTTTTTACGAATGGTTCTTTGTTCTTCAACACTAAAAAGTACAACACATACATTATTTTGATAGAAAATCGACTGTATTTCACTTATTACCATTGAGGGAAGAATCGAAGTTGTCAATTGTCCAAACTTGTATTACCAAAGCAAGTAAAAAAATTATTATCACGAGCGATTTGTAATTCATTATCACTATATGAAAGATAAAATCAAACTTTATTAGAACATTTATCTGCATTTCACACAAAATGGTTTTATGTCATTCTATAGAAAATTTTAATAAGGAAGCTTGTTTCTTTATACTTTAAATATAATATTTAATTGTTGATCTCTCAATATTTGTCAATGATTGATTGATGAATATACACGACGAACAGATTGGCAGATCTAATACACGTAAGTGATCAACCTAACAAAACAAAAATATATCTTGGAAAAAATAAATCAGGAGTATATATTCTATGATGCACAAATTGCGTTTTAAATCGAAATTATGTCACACAAGAATCTATAAATCGCGATATGCCCACAGTTCTGCTCAAGAAACTTCCATGCGTCACACTACCCCATGACACACTTCCGCGCAGACTGAGTTTTTTTCTGTTCTGTTTGTGTTAAGTCAGTGCATCGTTAATGATTTCATTCACTATTCGGCGAATGTGGCTGTCTGGTTGTCATAAGACTGTTCGAATAGAATGAAGGGTGTGAAAATTTTACCATAATGAAGACCATATTCCAACACCAAAAACCCACACTCATATTTGACAGCCGTATCAACAAATTAGTTAATGAAATTTTAGAAGCTACATTAACTGGACGTAGAAAAAACGAATAATTTCATTTTGCGCAGAAGTTTCGTGTCACGAAAAAAGCATCTGTTCGTATAAATTTTATGAATCATTATAATTTGCATAGGTTTTCACTTCTACGAAAAATTTTTTGTTGTTAAATGACTGAAGAAATTGGTTTCAAAGTTTTACAAATAAGATTAACACATGATTTTTACTTTATCCAATTAGTATGACTATATCAAAATTATGAATGTGAGAGTTTTTATAGTAAAGTATGTTGTCAGGTTTATTGATAGATAAAATCATTTTTCGTATATGAAATAGGGTGTGGGTGGGTGCAGGTTTTGTTGAAAAGAAGACCCACACCTACATATGTGTTCGGGTGAACAGATGAGAGAAAGAGAAAGAGCGAAAACATCAATAACAAGTAGATAGATGACAGTGAATCAGCAGATGAGTCATCGTAACAGTTTTTGCTTATCATCTTGTGTTGAAAATGTCTTTTGAATAAAATCGAAAAATCCATAATTTTCAAACTCCAACAGTATCATTAGTCAATGATTTTTACGACAGTCATTCAATTTCTTTTATCTTTCATCATTTCTGCTGTCAATTTTCCTAAATTAATATGCATCCATTTGCTTGAAATATGACAATTCGGTCTTTTTCATCCTATGACGATGTGAACAATTGACAAAATGACTCTAGAAGGCAACGTATGATGTTGAATTCCTCTGCACTTGTCTCATAAACAACTTTTCTCCTCGTTTCATACAAATGCACCTTCTGAAATGACCATTTGTCTGTCACAAGCAGGCTCTCTTTTTCAAACATTAATGTCTCCAACATGAATTTAAGTCAAGACACAAAACCATCATTCAAATCAACCAAGAATTACGAACAGCATTTGATGGTCTTGAAAAGGCACTCAATTCGGTGGAACATTATTGAATCACCCAACATCTACACAACACAGCCAAGAGAGGAGGATATCGAGCTTCAATTTCTTGGTTTCAAAATTGACATAGAGCAAGATTTGTTGAAACTTCAACCAGTATGCCACTCATCCGTCTTTCAAACGATCTGCCGCCATATTTTCTCTGCGCCACAACAACATATGCATTTGTCACGAACAAAGAAGTTCAAGAACTTATCGGACGATGAAGTCATAGCACTGAAAAAGCACTAAAAATCAATAATAACATTTTCTATCAGCTAAGTTGTTAAATGCGTCGACAACGATTCATTCTAGCTGTACTGTGCGCATCTATACTTTCGATTTCTTTTGTCTTCATCAATGGTTTCGAAGTGTATGAGAGGGCTTTTTACTCAATCAGTGAGTGTTGAAAAAAAAGGTGGACTATCATTTCTACTTTACTACTGTTGGATAGAATAGTCGTGTATTGTGTCAAGTGTTGCTCTCTTTTCTTGTTCTGTTTTAGCGAAACAGTTTTGTCTTCACTTAAAGTTGATATCTAGTCATGATTGTGCGCTGTTTAGTCAGTAGATATACGTCTCTTATCTCCTGTTACAGGCATTTTAGAAAAATTTCTCTTTGCTATCCAAGTTACTTGTTGACACCGCAAGATAACCTGAATATTATCGAAGCATCAGCCTCATTTGCTTAGCCACATTTTTTTTTTACTTGAAACATAATACTTCCATGGAGACATATTCACTACAAAATCGAACTGTTAGATGTTCTAAAATTTTGACAGGGAGCTCAGCCCCCCCCCCTCTCTTAGCTCATTCCCTTCTGCTGGCTACGCCACTAATCCTTGCATGTACATCCTTTGTTAGTTTGTCTTAACAGATTTGATAACGAGCACAAATGGCAGTTGCACAATCAGAAGCGTCACCTGACAATGATCTCATTGCCCTGACAAGTGACAGTTCAGGTCAAGTCATGTCTATTTCGTCTACAGAACAAGCTACGAATTTATTTCATCAGCTCATCGATTCGTTCAAACGTACATCATCCTCTGGAAATGTCTCGATCGAAATGAACCGATCAAAACAAGCAGAAGATCAAGACGGTCATGTTGAAAAGGGAGAAACTGGTTTACATAGAAAGTTGAAAAATCGACACTTGCAGATGATTGCCATCGGCGGATCAATTGGCACCGGTCTCTTTGTTGCCTCAGGCTCTGCTCTTGCAACTGGTGGTCCTGCTGCAGTTGTACTTGATTTTGCCATTATCGGTTTTATGCTTTTCAACGTATGTATGGCACTTGGTGAGCTAGCAGTTACCTTTCCTGTCTCTGGTTCTTTCGCCGTTTACGGTTCTCGCTTTCTGGATCCTGCCTGGGGATTTGCTATGGGCTGGAACTATGCTCTCAATTCGTTGATTACTATGCCACTCGAATTAACGGCAGCTGGAATCGTTATTGACTATTGGAAAACACACGTTAATCTTGCAGTTTGGATCACTATTTTTCTTATCGCCCTTCTTATTATCAATCTGTTCGGTGTTCGAGGTTACGGTGAAGTTGAATTCTGTGTCTCAATCATCAAAGTGATTGGTATCATTGGATTCATCATTCTTGGTATTGTACTCGTATTCCGTGTTGGTCCAAATCATGTTTATTTTGGCTTCAAATATTGGCATGATCCAGGTGCATTCGCCAACGGGTTTAAAGGAGTGTGTTCCGTTTTTGTCGCTGCCGGTTTTGCCTTTGGGGGCACAGAGTTGGTCGGTTTGGCAGCGGCCGAAGCGGGCAATCCTCGAAAGACTATTCCTCGAGCTGTCAAACAAGTATTCTGGAGAATAGCTATTTTGTACATGGTGTCCTTGATTCTTATCGGTTGCCTGGTGCCCTACACATCGAGACGTCTTCTCAGCGCATCCTCAAGCTATGATGCGTCTGCATCACCTTTCGTGATTGCTATTGAAGATGCAGGCATTAAAGTGTTGCCTTCCATATTTAATGGCGTCATTCTTTGTGCAGTGCTTTCGGTAGGCAATTCGTCCGTCTATGCAGCATCTCGAACGTTGTGTGCACTTGCCGAATGTGGTCAAGCACCTAAGATACTCACTTATATCGATCGCAAAGGTCGTCCACTTTCCGCCGTCGCCTTGTCGGTGCTCCTGGGATTGATTGCTTACATCAACTGTGCGAATGTCGGTACTCAGGTGTTTACTTGGCTACTCGCTCTCTCGAGCTTATCGTCCTTTTTCACTTGGGGTTCCATATGCGCATGTCACATTATGTTCCGATTGGCGTGGAAGGCCCAAGGTCACACTCTTGACGAACTTGCCTTCGTGGCACCTTTAGGTGTATGGGGAAGCGTTGCCGGTCTTATTCTCAACATATTATGTCTCATTGCTCAATTCTATATAGCTGTCTTCCCTATAAATGACAGTTCAAGTGTCGATGCCTTCTTTGAAGCCTATCTTGGTGTTCCCGTTGTCATTATCTTCTATGTCGTATGGAAAATATGGAAGAGACCACCATTCATGCGGCCTAGAACGATAGATCTCGACGTGGGAAGGCGTTTACTTGACACACAACAGCTGATGAACGAAGAAAGAGCCCAGCGAATGACCTGGCCTCTATGGAAGAGAGTGTATTTCACGTTGTGCTGAATTGTTGTTCATCGTATTTAGACTTATTTTGCTACACGCTGTAATAAACAGTACCATAGAAATAATTGTACCCTTGAAAAACTTGTTGATATTCTATTGGCCATAAATTTATAGTCAATCACTAAAGCGTAGGATTCATCAATATGTATCTGTCTACATTAGAATTCGAGGGTCAGATAATGAGGCCACAACGTCAGTCCGAGACTAACATAACGTGGTACCTCAATATCCTTATGTTTGAAATAAGGACAACTCGAATAAATCTTGCTTTCGACAAGGAATAACCTTACACTGAGTCTCACTCCATTTGATAACGTTCCGCCGCCTATGCCGGAAATAATGCACGCTTATTGAAAGCCATTACAAAAAAAAACAAATTAGGAATATATTTGCAAAAATTATGAGAACTATTGAAAAAATAACCGATGATTGATCGCGTTTCAGTACAGAATGATCGTTTCAATTTTCCACAATCAATCACTAAATTTAGGGAGCTTTTTTTAGAACAGGGTATTCACAACGTAATCGCTTCCGTCCCTACAAACGATAACTACAGTTACGAAAGGTTTACTGTAATCTTCCATTCATGCGCTCAATATCTATTTGTAAAAGATGTTCAGCTAATTGAGTCCCTTCATTATGTTGATCCTCGTTCGCCTCAGTGATACGATGTGACACATAGTGAATTCCCCAACCGGTACCATAGTTCATTATTGAGTCACGAATTTTCTTGCGTTCAGTTATTGTAACACTTGTCGCCCCTCTGTGAAAATACGTATGAATATAAATGCTTGGAAAGTTCTGCAATAGTGCAAGATTGAAGTTAAATGGTACATGAAGATCGTCTCGTTCATATCGAACACTCTTGATGAATTTCTCAATTTAATAGAATGATTGGCGGCGGTTAACTGCAGAATAATTTTCACTATCTGAGACTTCATGGATCCTATGTGAAACTTGTAGAATGACTACAGAAGGAGTAGTAGTTACCGTAGCACTCATTCGAGAAAAAGAACATGCAAAACGGACAAAAGTTGAACTGCTTTAGTACAAAGAATACTCGCACAAACAGACAACATTCTGAATAGACTGCCTTGATTATGAATAAGTCACATTTTCAGCATCAACTTCTGGTTATTTAAATGTTAATTGTATTTCATTACACTAGGATCTTACCTGAAAGTCCTCGAGAGCTTGTGAGAAAAAGACGATACGAGAAGGCTGAGAAAATTCTTAAGAAAGGTGCCTTGGTAAACAAAAGAGGATTTGATCAGAAGCATATAATAGACTTAAAGAGGACTCAAAGAACGGTGAGTAACTGTAACAAATATTGTATTTCGATAGTACGAAACGTATATGAATTATAGAATACAGACACGAAGAAAACTCGAACAAATGTTTCAAATTTGTCTCAATATACGATAATGAGTTTTATTATTGTCAATCTATTTTTATAGTGGTTAGTTTCTATTCACATAAGAATTCATCAATTTTCACTTCCATATCTCACTAGGTTTACTTTATATCTTGTCTTTTATGGTATTTTACAAAATATAGGTAACTGTTAATTTATATATTAATGAAGACGATTATCTATATGATATATATTTGAAAATCATGGCAATTTGATCCATATGTTTCATTTTGTGTTAATGCATTGATACAATTGCTTGCATATATTGTGTTCCATGTTATACTCGATCAAGTTGGACGAAAACTACCTTATTGCTTGTTTGCCATAGCATTTGGTATTGTGCCTATGTTAATTATACTTATTCAAAGCTTCACCAAAGCAGAACAATCGAGTGCGTATGAGAACATTTTATATTAATTTAAACTTTTATTTTAGCCCGTGGAATCAATCTATTTATCATGAATGTCTTCTTGGGATTCTGTGGTATGATCACATATGTTGTGGTCCGTCTACTTACTACTTAACTATTCCCAACAAATGTACGTACAACTGCATTAGGATGCTGTTCAACAGTCGGTCATTTAGGAGCGCTTGTCGGAATATATTACAATGTTTATTAAGTCAGTAAAATCATCTATGGATTTTATGTTTAATAAGAAAATTAATCAATCTTTGTTAGGTACGACTTTCATTCAAACATCCCATTGTACTCTATGGAATTGTTTCATTCATTGCAGCAAGTATGACTTTATTATTCCCTGAAACATCAAACAGATCATTGCCACCAATAGTTCAAGAAGTCGCTCGTATGGATCTAGCTTTGTAAGTACAGATATATTGAACTTGTTTCTCATGCTTTCTATCTCAACAGATCATTCAGCGATTGTCTAATTGAGTGTTCTATTTTAGTGGAATATTACGTCGTAGTACATTGAACACTGAATTTGGCGAAGATGATGAGCCTGCTTCGCAAGAACTAGCTGAGAATAAAGGCGATGCTAATGATATGAAAATTGAATCAATGATAGAGATTGACAAAAAAGAGACATCGATTCAATAGTATCTATATACAATGAAGTTCATAAATGCGTCTCTTTTTTTCTTCTGATGCTTATATTCAGCTGAATTTTTATGATTATAAAAGAAAAAAGATTTTCAATCATGAACAATATCTTTTTGAACTATCTGCAAGTTATAGATTAAATAACAAAAGAGAACTTACCATGCAGGTTACCTTTAGCTCTTTATGTAAATGTGTACTCTAACAGTCGAAACGTCTTGAAGAGATTCGAACGAATATTACAAACAAAGGTATACAGGCATACAATAGGATGCATTTACAACAATGCCATGGCATTCAAGCAGAGAAATATCAATCGACGATAAAATTTATCCCTCAAATATGCTGCAATTTACGATTACATTTATGGTACTAACTTGCTCACTCCATCTTAGTCTTCGCTCCTCGTACATCGATGCTTTAGAATCGAATCAAGCATGTCAAATATCTATTGAATCAAACGTTAGTAAACTTCATACCTTGTACTAGCAAACACAGGTTTTAGGTGTGGGTGTGGGTGATAGTCCTCCATTCAATCTCCCCAGACACCCACACCCACATTCACCTAATTACTGGAACCGGTGCATATCTACCAGGAATATGCGAACAAATGCTTGTTTCAGAAGTAGGATACAAAGCAATTATGAAACAACATGAAATTATCGCATGATCTGCATATCTTTATCTAATATATAGAACATTTCGACATCTAATAGTTTGTCTGTAACTCTATATTTTTGAGAATTTAAAGAATAAACATTGACTGATAATTTCTGTTAAATCGACAGACTAATGGGAAATAGTAAAATAGTTTACAAATATGTTAACGAACCAATAAATGTCCTTTTGAAAACATCTCTGTAGATCTTCTTTTTTTCTTCAAAAATAAAAAAATCCATAGATGGATAAATAACAGTGAGCTGTTCAATGTCTTATTTTCAATCATCGTTACATGTATTATATACGAATAGTAAGCAATTGAGCTAATTAATATTAATTTGCAGCATTGTATTTCGTGTGTTTTGACAAGTATTGCATTGAGAAATTCATTCTGTCGTTTGTCTCAAATTTGAAACTTTTTGATATAAATAGCACAATGTAATGACAATGTTGATATTGTTTTATTTTGATTTTTTCGAAAAAAAAAACTGTATTTTTTCTCTTTGACTAAAAAAAAGAATGATTTTACTTTCTGTTTGGTGAGAATTTTGTCGTTCTGTGAAAAGCTTTATTCATGCGATTTAATGCACCATACTTTTTTCGAACTTCTCAACATGAAAAGTGTAAACAAACATCGGGTCTGAAGGTATGTAGGAAGTGAAGAATTGATGACGTTTTTTCATTAAATATAAAAACTTCTTGAAATATTCCGCAACATATCTTTCAAATAGCATTGTTTAAACAGTTTAAAACATATTTCAAGTTCAATAGGAGTTTATCATACTTTCTCAAATGTAAATGCTTTCTTTAGATTTAAAACTTTTTGAAAAACTATAATTTTCTATTTACGAATATGATGAATTGAATAAGTTCAAATGACAAGCATTGATTAATTAAATAAGATTCTATATTGGTTCTAAAGACTACTGCAATAGAATATACATGCATCGCCTTCCAAGACTTCATAAATGATGTTTTTATGCCTATTTCTATTTCACTGAATATGAAACAAAACTTTCAAATTTTTTTCCAATACATAAGATTAATGCATTTGTTTTCGTGATTTTTATAGTGATTGCCATCGACTACGTTGAAGAATATGGCAAAATCAATTAGTAAAAATTCAATGGAAAAACCGTTTGGTGTAATCGAACGTAAGGCTGTTAATCCAGTTGGATGTCTTGGTTCTCTCTATGACGGTTTTCGAGATAATATATTTTATCACACATACCATAAATGTCAAAAACAGTTCTTAGAACCATCTCAACCAGTACAATGTAAAATTGTAAATGGCAGTGTAGATTCAAACTTCAATATACTTGAATGTATTGGTATTGAACCGGAATTACGGCTAAGTTTATTGTTGAATTTAACGAATCGATCTGGAATAGCAGAACTTCTTAATTATCCTCATCGTATAGATCAACATACTCGCTTCTTATACTATTCTTGGATTTATGGTACACAACAATTTCTTGAAAATGAGGTACGTGCCCTGGAAAACAGCGCAATATGGCGTACTCTACCTCATGCTACTCATATGATTACCTCGATAACTTTTGGAATTGATGCTGTTATTGTTTTTCAGCTACCAAGAGAAGATACCGTTACCAATAAGATCGATCGTATATTGGAAAAAGTTCGTGACCAGTTTCTGAGAGAAAAAAACGGTATGTTAATGCTTACTTGTAACGAAGACGATTTACTCAGTAAAACTTTCAATACGAAAATTTACTCAAATATGCCTAATTTAACCTGTTTTTTCAACGTTTCTTATCTTCTTTGTGAAATCGATATGTTCAAAAGGTACCCAAAATATATTTATCCATTAAACTATACTCTTCACCCACTCACAACATTATATTCACCTAATAGAACAACAAGTACTATATTGTTGCATCCTTTACAAACGACAAAAGCTGACCAATTTAGACTTCTGCCTTGTTCACTCACAGACAGTATTGAACAAGGTTTACTGCAATTAAGAAACTTGATTAGATATTTAGATACCTCGCTGGATGAACCTATACCGAGATTGCTGTGTGGGCATCTCTTTGACCAACTTCAGAAAGCTCGCATTCAATGGTTCAACCTGAGAAATATATATATGAGTAAAATTCAACAAGTTTCTAAACTAGTAATTGATGCCCGCAGTGGTCTCGAGAAAAGTTACGAAATCGATCGAGCGCTTCAGGATCATGTACAACGAACAATGAAAAATGATATCAAAGAATTAATTCGGAATACGAGTCACTTAGAAAAAAAAGGACATTTGATTACAGATTTGCGGCAGCAACAATTTGAATATAAGAATGCAGCTAAATATAACATCGACAAATTTGATAATATAACAACGATTGAACGCAAGCTGATAAATAATGATCAACGTAAACTGATACTGTGTTCCAATGATACTCTAAACGAAAACAATCCTTCAAAACTGATGCACTTACGTCGAATATTACGTCAAAAATTCATAAGTAATTCGATGTTACGCCTTATCTATGCTGATTTTTCCTATTCTTCGTTTCAACTGCATGACATGATAATATTACCATCCAATGAAATAAACTATAGTGAAAATCTTGCGAAACAGCAAATATTCTCTCCAATTAATGGCTCTCCCATTCCTTCACCTTTACCAGTACCCCATGAACCAGTGTTAGTGTCAAAAGATAAAACTATTAATATTCTTCTTCTTGGTGAAACTGGTGTTGGTAAATCAACCTTTATCAATGCTTTTGCCAATTATCTTACATTCGATTCTTTTGAACAAGCTGAATCAGGTGAACCTATCGTAATCATTCCTGTCTCATTTATTATGACGGTTGGTGATCATTTTGAAGAACGAACAGTCAAATTTGGTGAACTCGATCGTTTTAACAATGAAAATTTTAACATTGTTGGTGAATCCATAACACAACATTGTAAATCTTATATATTTGATTTTAAGCATAGTGAAGATAATAACCGAAGAAAGGTACGTATTATTGATACACCTGGTTTTGGTGATACACGAGGTCTTGATCAAGATGAACAAAATATGCAACATATTTTACAATACATCAATAATATTACATATTTGAATGCTATTTGTTTTCTTCTCAAACCAAATTCATCACGATTACATATCTTTTTTCGTACATGTCTTATTCAATTATTTTCTCTTCTTGATTCAAAAGCTCAGAATAATATTATCTTTTGTTTTACTAATGCACGATCAACTTTTTATACACCTGGAAATACAGGTCCATTACTGAAAATTATGCTTACATCAGCTTCAATGGATAATATTTCGTTTAAAAAAGAAAATACATATTGTTTTGATAGTGAAGCATTTCGATATTTAGTCGCCTTACGAAATAATATTCCATTTACTGATGAAGAAAAAAAAGAATATCAAATGAGTTGGTCAACATCAGTTAACGAATCCAAACGTTTAATTGATTATATTAATAAAGAACTCATCGAATATCGTATAGAAAATGGATGGCAAACAATTAAACATGCTCAATTTGAAATTTCTTATATGATTCAGCCAATATTAGAAACAATAAGAAATACTCTTCGCAATTTTATTCTATGGAAAAATAAATCGAACCAATTCATTAAATTAATTGCAAAACCTCTTCATTCTACAGCTACGCGTTGTCTTTCGTGTAAAGGTGATCTAAAACAAGTTGTTGAATTTTGGATTTTCTCTACTTATCCACATGCGATGCAAAACAATAGTTGTGTCAGATGCTTGTGTACTCTTGATCAACATGTTTCGATCGATTATGCACTGAACTATACATATTCGAATATAACTTTCAATAATGTTGAAAATACAATGATCGATATGTTAACTACGCTGATTCATGCAAGTACCAAATTAGCTTATTTTCTTATGCATACAGCGCATTCTACAAAGGATGATCCATTATTGAATGGTTTGATAGAAATGATTGCTGAAGAAACATATATATGTGAAATTAAAATATCAAATAATTTTAATAAGCAATTGAGCGAAGAATTGTCGAAATTTGCAAATGAATATGAACAACAAATGAAGAAAATGAAATTGACTCAAGAGAATATCGATCTACCAACTATCTATAAATTAATTGAAATGATTAAGGGATATTCTATGGTGCATGAACAAATGACAGCTGTTAAGAAAAGACATCGAATGATGATTGAAGAATACGAATATGAAGTACAAAAGATGTAATAAAATATATTAATTAAAGATTTTTATAATAAAAATTTATCTTAGTGCAATAATTCAATATTTAAATAATACTGAAAAATGATTTAGTAAATCCTCAATTGAATTCGAATTTATTCATCTACATTCAATGTTTCAATGAAAAATAAAATAATTGAAAGGATATTTTACTTAAATAATCATTTAGTTTGAGTGCTATTCATATGAGAATACCGTCAATAAAACTCTAATCTCTTTTGAAAATAGCTATTTCTTTAAATTGAGTGTTTCGACACTCATTTTTGTAGCGCGCTGAATGAACTTATAAACGATGAAAAGTTTTTCTCAAAACTATGTTTTACTCAGACAGAAAAGGCAAAAAAAAAACATTGTGCTATTGCATTGTTTTTTTTTCTTGTTAATCAATTTTGAGATAGGTAACGTGCTTAAAAACTTAAAAGCAAAATCATTTGATAAAAAAAAAAAAAGGTGTTGAAAAAATTGTGAAGTGCATAACAATATTTCAATGCATTCTTTTTGAAATATATAACGAATACTTTGATGAGAAAAATTCAAATTAATCACGTTTAGTTTATTCATTTCTTCTATTTGAAGATTATCTTGTCATAACATAGATAGATAAAAAGAGAGAGAAACGTACCGACACACATCGTGTGATCGATTCATTTTTTATTTACATAATACAACATGGGAAAAAAAGAGCAATAGGTGAGAAAACTATCACTTTCGTTTTTGTTGTTTTGTTTTCGATGGCGCACAAAAAATTATTTAAACATCAACGGTACGTGACCACTTTGAAGAGGATATATTTGATTTGATTGTTAATCACTGTTCACATTTTCTAAAAAGAAAAAAAAAAAAACTCAATGGTACTTCGAAAAGAAAAAAAAAAGATCAAGAATAAGCTGAATTCGATCGATTGCTAAGCTCATAATCTTATATTTAAGTATCAGACAAATAATTACCTTTTTGAATAAACACCGGGAAAATTTTTTTCACATGCAAAAGACAAAAAAATAATAATAATAATATGACTAGATTTTAATTTGATTTAATACATTCTAATAAATATAATACAATATCCATATAACCAAGATAAACAGCTATATGTAATGGAAGCCAACCATCACGATTCATTATTGATATATCACAATGAGCAAATTCAACAAATATTTTCAATAAATCAAGACGATTATAAAGACAACATAAATGAACTAATGATTGTCCATTATATTCTAAACAATTAAGATTAATATTAATACGATAAGATTTTAATACAAGCATTTTAATATCATAAATATTTCCATTATGAAGAATAGTATTAAATAAACGATGAGTAAATTGATGATGATCGAGAATCATATTCACTATGAAATGAAATGTACAAGCAGCGAATATATATCGAAAAATGAAATGACAGGAAACGAAAAAAAAAAAAAAAAAAAAAACGAATGAGAAAATTTTCATTCAATCATTCTAATTGTCAGTTAGGTGAGAACGAGAGAAAAAAAAAAAGAAGATCAAATAATGTTCGGACACACAGCATGATTTGTTTGATTGAAACATCTGTATATTGAGTTTAAAAAATACGAAAATGAACACTAATGAGAAAAACTAGTCTAATCCAATATGATCAGTTACAAGAAAGAAAATATTTGAGTACCAAATATGATCTAAATGTTTTTTTTTGTATGTGTGTGTGTGTGTGTACATTTCATGTTGACCGTGAGATCCGCCTTAACACTTTCGTATGTAATTTAACACCTTTTATTTTGTACAGTGAGATATGCGTTTCAATTTCTCATTCTCATGCTTTCACCATTCGCATCATCATTATTACAATCATATTCTATTTCTCATAAACATACACATTCATTTTTTTTTAACACGAACTGAAAAAAAAAATAAATATTTATCCATTTTTGAGGATGTTTATAAGTGCTTCCTGTAATTATTAGATTTATCACTCAATAAAAAAGAAGTTAAATTATTCTACACATGAGAGAAACTATTCTAATTTTCCTATATTATTAATTTTGATTCTTTTTCTCTATTATAACTGACAGTTAAAGTCTTTGCAGAGTGTTAATATTTTTCTAAGTAAAAACTTTGATTTTTCTGCCATTTATTAACAAAAAAGCTAATTTGAAATTCTGGAAAAGTTAAGAATTATTTAAAATTTGAAAATGAAATTCAATACTATAATGTGAATAAACTAATATTTTATAAGATAGACTTTTTGCAAAAACATGTATGAAACAAAAAAAAAAGAGGTTCTATTTCTAGAGAAGTTTGATAAAATAATTTAAAAAATTTCCTAAAAAAATAAACGAAATTTTATATAATTTTTATATGGCAAAGAAGTTCAATTGTATTTTACATTTCTAATTTATTTAAAATGAAAACAAAATAAAAATATCACAAAAGAAAAATTCTTCCTTATATTTGAGTATTTTTCTTTAAGTTTTCCTCAATTGATAAATTAATACATGGTATTTGAATAAATTCACTATCTAATTCTTGTTCATCATTATCTACGTGTTCAAATCTTAAACGATCAAGTTGATTATCAGATTTTGATGTTATTATATGTTCATTAATTGTACGTAAATCTCGTCTTGAACGTCTTAATGATGTTTGTGATAATGTTCGTCGTAATGATGTCCAAGACATATTTCGTCTCCATGTCCATGTTTCATCATATTCTCGTATTTTATATTGTAAACCATTTAATAATGCCATAACAAGTATAAGTAATATAATAAATATACTAAGAATAATACCAATAATAAGACCTATATTATTAAATAAACGTGAACGAATAATAAATGTTGATCGAAAAAATGAATAATTATATGAACATGTTAAATAATTTTTATCATATAATTGATGTATTAAAAAATTATCTATTTCTAATGAATTTATTATAATTGTATTTGTTAATGTATTATTATTATTATTTAAATTAGTTAAAGATTCAATTGTTGTATGACATTGATTTTCTTTTCGTTCAAAATAACATTCATCCATTTTACGTGCTGTTTCATGTCCAGACATTAAATGTATACATGGTATAAATTGTCCATCTAATTGACCATATTTATATGCAAATAATAATGGACAATTACATATTGTTGTATTAGAATTTTCAAATAACCATGATAAATAACGAGGAGCTTCATAAATAAGACATGAATTATTAGCAATATTATTAAAATAGAATTGAATTAATGATCGAGAATTACTAAAACAAAAAAAAAATGACATTTATTTCAATATATAAATTTAAAGTAATTAAATAAAAAAAGATTTGTAGCATGCGCATGAAAAACATGAACATCTTGAGCAAGAATATCATGCGCTATGGACACATTCTTGAGCTCAAGTCTTGGCAAGTGCTTGAATAAAAAAGTTCGACTAGGGAATGATTTAAATAAAAGACAAATAAGTTTTTATTTTCAACCTATTCATTTCTCAATAAAGATTAAACATTTACTTAAATCTATAATAATTATGAAAATCGATGAAGAAAAAAAAACAACAACAATTATATGAATATTTTTATTCTTTTACCAAATTATTGAAACAAAATTGTCTCAAAAAATAGAAAACCTACAAAGAAAAATGAATACTTTTGATTCTCAAATTGATTACATCTACTATATATTTCTGTCTCTAAATATTACTTTCATACTAAAATAAAACGGATGTAGTACAACAATACTTAACAGAATATATAATTATAAATAATTTTATATAAAACACTAGAGTACATAATAACTACATATGAGTACTCACGAAACATACGATATTACAATGCGCAATACTCAATTGTCATGTTTAGACACTTAAGTCTCAGTACGAAGATTACTAATGAGTACTCGCTTATAATTCTCATCATTAGAATAGGAAATTGCTCTTTCGAAGACAGTTGTTCGTCTTCGTAAACATATTATACATTTTTCTCTAGGCTAGATGAATATTCTTTATTATCTCTTAAATGTTAATATAACCTTAAGAATATTAATTAATTATTCATTATTCGATGCTGATTTCAAATATGAAGATCATCTTTAGTAAAAATATTTTTTATGTTAAGAAAAATGAGTTTTTTTTTTTTTATATAGAAAATCTTTTGCTCGTGCTAACACAATCAAGTTATTATACTTGAAGAGATTATTTTGTAGAACTTGATGTTAATGAAAGTGGTTATTTTTTTTAGAGTCAAAAAAGAAATTGTTTCTGTACTTTCGAACTAATCCTCAAAAGAATAATTATTTAATTATAAATTATATTTTATTTACATAAAATTTTTTTCAATTGATTGAAACCATTTAACATAATAAACATAATCAAAATATATATTAATATTTGTTTTAAAAAGATTTAAATTTAATAATGATAAATCAAGTAAAGTAATATCTTTGAAATAAATATTATAATATAAATTATTTATTTCTAAAGAATTTTTTTCAAATTTAATTATTGTTGTTGATGAAAAATTTAATATAATTAAACCAGAATTAATTGATGAAAAAGAATTTTTTTCAAAATTTATTATTGAATTTGGATCATTTATAGAATTTTCTGAAGAAATTTTTAATTGATTTTCAATATTATTTAATGATAAATTTGAAAATGTATTTGAAAAAATTGAAAGTCCACGAAGATTATTTAATATAAATAAAATTTTTATATTTTTACTTTCATATATATTATGTATATAATCAAATGTATAAGATTTTAAACATAAACATGTACCTAATGTATTTATTGTAAAATTAAATATTGAATTTGTATCTAATGACATATTTTGAAATGCATATGAATCAATAGTTAAACGTGTTAAATATAATGAATAAAAACGAAATGAACTTAATGTTTGTAATTGTAATGATTTAAATGAATAAGATTTTAAATATATATGTGATATAAGTTCAAAATAAAATGATATTATTTGATTTTTATTAATATTTAATAATAAAAATGAATATGATTCAAAT